AAATGTATCATACAATCGATTGCTGAAAAAGTAGATACATCACAGTGTACATATGTCATAGAAAATTAACCAAGTGTAGTGTAACAGCTGATTCTATGTAGGTACAACTGTCCAATTAATCCGTTTAGAGAAATAGACTAAGTACCTAATTGGTGCCGTACTGAACTATCTGAGCTAGTGTGCGGATAATATCCTAAAGTGCACTGGCAGCCCTTGGTCGTGGGATCACAGAGTAGTGAATTTAATGATTATCAAGGTAAGAATAAAGGTACAAAGAATCGGAATAGTGCCTTCATGGGCACTGATAATAGTAAAGAAAGAGTACGAGTCAGGCAGAAATATAGCACGCAGATTAATGGCGAAAATAACGTATATACTGTAGATTAGCCGGGTAAATAAATACCATGGTCGGTATAATACTTTCCACTGTACCCTGATCGGTATGTTAGACCCCAGTACTGATCCCATGACCAAGGGCTGCCAGTGCACTTTAGGATATTATCCGCACACTAGCTCAGATAGTTCAGTACGGCACCAATTAGGCACTTAGTCTATTTCTCTAAACAGATTAATTGGACAGTTGTACCTACATAGAATCAGCTGTTACGCTACACTTGGTTAATTTTCTACGACATATGTACATTGTGATGTATCCACTTTTTCAGCAATCGATTGTATGATACATTTGTTTTTGGAATATCAAATGAATAGACCGGAATATACATTTGTAACAAATTCCAGTAGTCTAACATGAAAAAGTATCCTCACTCATTCTATTGACAATTTTTGCTACTTGCAAGGCACTTAGTCTATTACTTGCAAGGCACGTTGTCTGAGGATATTAGACCACACAGTGTGTGGATCTAGAGAACCTGGATCTACCCCCCCTTTTTTATCCTCTGTGTTCTATACTGGAGTAATTAGCTCGGTTACCAATATATTGGATTCTGGAAATTGGCACCAACCTCACTGCTCCATATTATCCATTTATCTTTTTGCAATTGTGAATTTACTCTGTAATTCATTTTATGTTATATGTTTTTGTCCTTCCTCTCTTCTCTTATCCCCTATATATATACCTTATACATTATATGTTGGTTATTTGATCTGTCTATGCTAGACAGTCTTTATAAACAATATTAGAGTGCTAGTGGTAGTCTATTTTAGGAACGTCTTTTTTGATATATATTAAAGTATCTTTCAGATTTTTACTTTAGGGACAGATTTCTCTCTCCTCTTCATCTCTACTACTTAGGGTTACCCCCTGTCTGTTTCCTTTATATTCAATAATCTTATGGGCCACCCTATAATTTTTTTCAAATTTTTTAATAACCCAATAATAATTATTATTATTAAGCATCACATCAATTTTTAACCCTTCAGTGTACTCGTTTATTTTTTTACTGAGACTTACATTACCCCGTGAGTGGTTTTGTTAGAAGGTTAACATTTAGAGTTTGGAAATCCTTAACTTAGATGTTCCTGTCCCTTATGTAAATTATGTTATCTATACTTATATGGCGTTATCAGGTATCAAAAACATTGTTTTGTCCCTAAAATTGATTAAACAATAAGTTAGTCTTTCTGCTGACTTAAGTCTTACAATTCATTAACTTCCTATTACTCCGTGCAGACACACCCCATACGTTTGCCTTAGGGGGTTAAGATTTATAACGTGAAGATCCCTGTATTTAACCTTCTTGTATTTTGAGTTAGTTCTCTGGAATGCATTTATATATGGTCGTGTCCTTTAAACTAGATGTATCGAAATTTCCTCTCATCTCAAGGTTCATTCCGCTGTTCTGTAGATTTATTGCTCTGTTAATTACTTTTCAAACTAGTTCTTATTGTTTCGTATAGACACTAGCTTTTCGTTATTCTAACAGTGCTAGATTTTCTTATCTGTAGAGTTCATTGAAGGATACATTTGTCATTCCACTTAATTCCTCCAAATCAATTCACTTTTTATTGTTCTGTACACTCGCAACAGATACATCTGCTTTTTACCATTAGGATTTATAGAGTGTGTTAATCCATGTTTTGAAAATTCAAAGCATGGGTTAATCTATGTTTTAAAAATATAAAGTTCTTATATTTTATTAGTTTTCTAAAGTACACTTATCCATAGTTATATTTTTTAATTTGACATGTTGGAATTCTTTCTATTTTTAAACTAATGTCACAACTTAGTGGACTTATTTTCTATTGTTTTTTCCTTTATTGCCAGTTACTTATTATTTCATACGGGCATTTACACCCTATTATCTTCACGAGAAAAAGTTCTCTTGTCTGTAGGAATACTTTATTCACATACTTCAGGCTCTCTACTGACCTTTTGGTTCTGCTTTCATGCTGATGAAATTTCCCTATTCGAGATAATCTCTTATTGGAGAGTTACAGGCTGCATTGGATATTAAAACTGATAAAACCAAAGAATAATACCAAAGAATTAGAGTGGATGATGGAGGAGGATGTAAAAATGTTAAAATATTCCTCTAAAACCAAAATAGGACCCCTTTCTGTGCGTCAATAATCCTACGTTCAACTATAACGACTGGTAAAACTACTAGAAATAGTATCAAAAAATAGAGTCAAGAAATGGAAATAAAAAATGGGGAAGAATATAAAAATAATGATAAAAATATAATCTAAAACCAAAATAAAACCTCTTTGAGAGACTCTATAATCCTAATTTCTACTCTTAGAAGGAGAGGCATGTAAGACAAAATTCAACCCCATATGAAATATATATATATATATATATATATATATATATATATATAAAAGTGTCACAATTCAAGATCAGAATTGAGACCATGGGGGATCAGAGTGTTAAGCTTATAAATCCACTCCATTTCACGTTTCCCAAGAACTTTTATAAAGTTCCCCCCTCTCCAATTCTTATTCACCTTATTGATCCCCATAAAGTTTAAGCCTTCCAGTTTCTGGTCATGGAACAATTTAAAATGGTTTTGAAACACTATGTTGTTCGATGCCACTTTGGATTTTGTAAATATGTTCTCTAATCCTTGTATGTAGAGGTCTAGTCGTTCTGCCCACATATCTTAATCCACATGGGCAGACCAAGAGATAGATCACATTCTTAGTACAACAAGTTATACATTTTCTGATCTGGATTTTCTTATTTCCATTAAGGGTTATATCTTTTATCACCCTTCGAGTGCACCCTGACTTCTTGAAGGCTGCACATTGACCACAACCATAAAAGCCTCTCTCATTATTGAATATGGTTGAGGAATGATTTTGTTCCTTTAGGGAACTTCATACCAAGGTGTTTCTAAGATTTTTCGCCCCTCTATAAATTATTCTGGGTCTGATGGAAAGAATTTGGTTTAAGGCTGGATCTTGTAACAGAATCGGCCAGTATTTCTTGATAATCTGATTTATTTGACAGTTATTTATTTTATAGTTACAGACAAAAGGGACATCCTGTTTATCTATATTCGTTTTAGTTTTATAGGTTAATAGCTCTTTCCTTTCTTTATCTCTAATGTCTATTCTCGAATTTTCCAATTTGGATGCATCATAACCTTTTGAAATAAAATCTGCTTTTATGCGTGAAGATTGTTCGTCATAATTTACCAGATCGCTGCAATTACGGTGGATTCTGAGAAACTGCCCCTCTGGGGCGTTCTCCAGCCATGGGGAGTGGTGACAGCTTACACTTTCAATAAAACTGTTGCAATCCACTTTTTTAAAATGGTTTTTGATCTTAATTTCCCCCTATTCAATATAAATGTCTAGATCCAAAAAGGTCAATTGTTCCTTACTCCATGTGTTACTAAGTTTTATACCCCAATCATAACTGTTTAAAAAGTCCAGAAACATTTTTAAATAACATTCTTTACCTCTCCATATTAGCAGGATATCATTAATGTAACGGCCATAGAAGACCAAGCTCTCCCCCCAGCCATGCCCACTGTAAAAGTCCACCCAAAATGACAAATAGATTGTCATAGCTGGGGGCAAACTTGGTCCCCATGGCCATCCTGCTTATCTGTAAAAAGAAGGTATCATTGTACCAAAAGAAATTATTTTTTAAAATAAGCTCTATTCCTTCCACAATATAGTCAATCTGTTCCGGTAAAAAATCTTTTGATTCAGTCAGGAAATGTTTCGCTGTTCTGCACCCATAAGAATGAGGGATATTACTATACAATGATGCCACATCACATGTGACTAGAATACAGTTACAATCCCAGACCACATCTTCTAATAGGCTTAGGACTGTAATGGTATCTTTAATGTGTGACTTTGTTTTTAACATCAGAGGCTGTAGTTGGACATCTATATATTGAGACAACCAGCTGGAAATTGAATCAATGTCAGCTATGATCGGTCTGCCCGGGGGTTTGTTCTCATCCTTATGGACTTTGGGAAGGAAGTAAAACACCAGAATTTTGGGGAATTTTATGTTTAAAAATTTGAATTATTTTTGATTTAAAATATCTCTATTCAAACCTTTTCCAAAAAATCTTAAAAATATTCCATAAATATCCTCACTTGGGTTCCTCTTCAATTGTTGATATGTGCTTGAATCTCTTAGGATATTTTCTGCTTCTGTGTTATAAAACTGTTTTGACATTAAACCTATCCTCCCCCCCCCCCTCTGCTGGCTTTATGATTAAGTCTTTATCTGTCTGTAAATCTTTTAACGCCTTTCTTTCCATTTGAGTCAATTCAAATGAGATCATCTCATCTGAGATCATTTGTTTATGATAAAAAGAAGATTTATCCTTTAGAGTGGTATGTTTGAATTCTGAAGTGTCCACTATTAATCTACCTTGATTTAATTGGTCTCCGGTTACTGGGTCCTTAAGGAAAAAAATTTTTAAACATAAACTGCGTTTAAAAAGGGACAGGAACATCTAAGTTAAGGATAAAAATAATGATAAAAATATAATCTAAAACCAAAATAAAACCTCTTTGAGAGGCTCTATAATACTAATTTCTACTCTTATAAGGGGAGGTATGTAAGACAAAATTCAACCCCATCTAAAATTATTTAGCCAGTTACATTGGGATTCGTTATAAGCCCAGCAAAAGCCTTTTTTTCTGTGCAGCATTTGTAACCTGTTTATTAACAAAATTAGGCTGTCTCTGAGGTAACATCATGCTCACCCAAAGTCCGACATCCTTCATACCCCATTTAAGGTTGCTATGCACTGCTAGTTTCTGTCGGAATTGTTCGTCATAGTAAAACCATGACAAACCCCCCAAATTTTTATATGCTTCCAAAATAGCTTCTGCATGTTGAAATAGCCCACAGCACAATTCTGGATATTTTTCACCTAACACTCTAGAATAAATGCAAAAAGCTTGCAGCCAATTATTGAATGACCTAGGAATAAACTTATATATCTCCTTATCCCCCTTTTCCCTATCGGGTTTAGTAAATTCTCTAGCTGTGGGCAATAATGATAGAATATCAATATACTCCCCTTTCCATATCCTATCTTTTATTGACTTGCTTAAATTAAAACCCAAAGGGGAGCTTTCACAGCCTAACGCTTCTTTCATGCATGTCTCTTTAACTCTAACTTCTTCCCTCACAGAATGTGTCACTTTCGGATTAACTGTGACCACTTCTGTATCAGGCTCCCATACTCTCGCTAATTTAGGTGTCTGCAATAATTTAGTAAGTTTTTCAAGTGAAGACATCACTTTCCCTAAAACAGCATTATTCACATTTGTTTGTAACTCACCCAGCTGATAACTGCAACCAGTGATATCCTGAGCAACTTCGCTTTCTTCGAATAGCCTAGGTCTGTCCTCAGCCTCTTTATTCTTCTTCTTTTGTTCATATTTTCTGCTCTGTTTCCACATCCTCTTCTTACTCTTAATTGGAGACGGTGAGAAAGTTTCCCTGGACCTCTTTGTTCTTGCCTCACGAATCCTGCAGGGGTCGCTATCACCAGATTTTCTTTCTTGCACTGGCCCTTTAATTTTTAGAGGAGAATATACTGCTACCTCCTCCATTATTGACTCCTCCTGTAGCTCAGCCCCTTCTTCTTCGTCTACTTCAATTATACCGGAGGTGCTGGGGGCGGACTCCAAGCAAGCCTGCAGCTATGCAGTATCACTGCAGCCTAGAGCCTTCTGCTTAAGCTGTTCCAATAATGCCTCAATTGTGCCAGACATCTCCAAAGGTAAAAACAGCAGCTCAAATATTTTAATATAGCCAACCTTCAGATTTGTCTGGCACAAGCTGAGACAATTAATTTTGGTGCCCTTTATTTTCCCTCCAATATTGTCCTCTCGCTGCCATCTACCAATCAGGGCTCATGCCCTGGTCGCGAGCTTGCCGCCTTTTCTGCCAGAGCGAGCTGTCTTGCAATTAACCCTAGCCTGCATTTAACCCCTAGCACGAGCGCTATACTTACCACCCACTTCACTCCATCAAACCTCATGGGGCTGCTCCTTATGTAGTCCGCGTGCCCGACAATAGAGCAGTTATTTCCACAGTAAAACACTAAATTTGATCATTTCTGTTACCCAGCACTGTAATTATTCCCCAAATCTCATGGTTCATGGTTCTTTATGGGTCTATTTCTCTTATTTATTTAATAATGATCTTGTAATGGACATTGAATGTCATGTGCCAGTGTTTGCTGATACATCACACAGAGTTTGATATGGTTAAAGGACCACTATAGGCACACATACCTCTTCGGCCACTTCAGCTCACTGAAGTGGTCTGGGTGCCAGGTCCCTCTAGTTTTAACCCTGCAGCTGAAATCATAGCAGTTTCAGAGAAACTGCTATGTTTCACTGAGAGTTAATCCAGCCACTAGTGGCTGTCTCACTGAGATGCTTCCGCGTTTCTCTCTGTGAAAATCACAGTGAGAAGACACTGGATGTCCATAGGAAAGGAAAGCATTGAGTAATGCTTTCCTATGGGCGGTTAGAAATGCGCATTCAACTCTTGCCGCCATGCGCATTCAGATCTGACGATGGCAGGGGGTGGCGAGTTCCCCAGCACAGAGGGAGCCAGGCGCTGGAGAAAGGTAAGTGGCTGAAGGGGTTTTAATCCCTTCAGCCCAGTGGGAGGGGGGCCCCTGAGGGTGGGGGGGACCTAATGACCCTATAGTGGTCCTTTAAGTAGGATATTGTTCTCTAAAGACAGCTTTAGATAAAGTATGTGATAGGGAAGGTAAGTGGTAGATGATAATCTTAAAGAATCTCGTTGCCATGGCAAGTGGTGGATGTGAAGCTCAGAATCTCTGTGGGACTAATGCTGCTAAACGTCTCTCCCTGCTGGAACCTTTTTCATTGATTCTGAGCTTGGAGTGGAGAGAGCACATTGACAGAGAAGCAGGAACATGACATGGTGTCATATGCCTCACATATCTTTCTAAACTGTACTGCTTTTGCCTCTGGTTGAGACTCAATGAGAAGAGTCTGTTTATATTTTGATGGTTCATGAGCAAACTGTCAGGGGCAATGCAGACTCTCATGGCATTTCCTGCCTTAAAACAATACATGCAAAATAATTGTGCGTTAAAGACAGTTTTTATCATTCACTTATTTTTTCTAACTGAGATTTTTAAAAGCCAAACAACAGTTTCTGGTGTTGTCGGTTTCTTTAGTATAGCTCAGGGGTGCCCAAAAGGTAGATCCCCAGATGTTGTAGAACTACAAGTCCCGTGACTTTGCATGTCTTTAGAAAGACAAAGCATCATGGAAGCTATAGTTTTTAAACATCTGGGTATCAACCTTTTGAGCACCCCTGATATAGGTTAAATTAAGAAAAAAACAAAAACGTTTTTATTGGAGTTTTCTCTTATTAATAAAGTAGTTTTATGTTACCTACATGATTATAGTTTTATTACTACAGTGTGTGACAAAAAACAAGATTGCATTAGAAATTTACATCAACCCCTCTGTGCCACGTGTAGCGTATATAAGCTATAAAAAAAAAGATAACTATTGCTGCAATTTTGTATTATAGAGAAAGTGCAAGATTATCATAATGGGCACCGCCAGTATATGGAGTGTTAATTTGTGAGCCTGATTTGAATCACCTTCGTAATCAGCAGTGAGGGGAAGGAGTTTGATAATTGTTGCCAGGGTCACCTTTGAGAGATTGGCTGCAATGTTTCTGCATTATATTATAACCTGATTGCCATGTTACAGAAAAGCACTATTTTCAAAAAACTGTTTTGCAGTTCTATTGTTTAGTAATTTTTTACAGTTTTATTTTCTGTTGGCTTTGCATGTGTCATTGTATAATTCTTAATGTCTGTGACTCCACCTGGACTCTTATTGAAGATTTATAATATATTAATTTCACGAGGCAACCGGCCTTCTCATTCTCAGCTAATTCTGTAGGTGCAGTACTAAGCTCATTAGCTGAGAGCTCTCAACTGATGCTTTTGCATTGCAGGGCTCAAGAAGCGGCTGCAACTAGCACCCAGAATACCTCAAGTAAGATGTCAAACTGTTTGCAATTGATTTGAATACGTAACCACCACAGCAGTGTTCCTTCATTGTTTTAGTATATCTTTTTAATGATAAAATTATGCAATCACAAACAATAAAGACTTTGATTTATTAGCAATGTTTAATAGCAATGTTTCTCAATGATTTCTTGCAACTGCATGAGTTATCCTAGTCAGTGATCTGATATAGTAAGTTAACAGCATAGATTGTACACTGAGATCTGTAAAGCTCTTTGAGAAGAATAAATTAACTATTATATCCAGTATGCATTCATAATATAGTTATCCACAATTGTCTGTGGTCATCATTACATTTTATGCTAATTATAGGTAAGCATTCGTGCTTTAATTGTAGCCTTATATAGTTCCCATTACAGTTGCACGCATGATAATTACATCTCAAAATCCAACAATTTTAGAGTAACTAATCAGAAAAGCATTTGCAAGTGAAGCAGGTCAACAGATGACAGAGAACTATCCTTTGATTTTAAGGAAAGTAGGTAGCGAGTTGCTAATTTTTACGTTCAAATGGCCCAAGAGAGACAGTTATTTGATCATGGACTTGTTCAGCAGCTCTTTTACGTCTAGCAAGGGAGTCCTGATAGCAACAGGAGTTGTAATTGTTTCTCTGGCACACGGTCAGTTTGCACTGAAGATACACACTGGAATCCACACTGGAATAGTTTTGGAGGAATCCAAAACGAGCCCGGTATATTTTAAAATATCATAAAAAAAAAAATATATTAAATATTAAATACACTTAAATGTTACATTAAACTGCTGTGAAACGACATTCAATTTTCTAAAAATTCCTTAGATACAGGGTTTGATTAACTAGTTGACATACATTTAAATCCATAAATATTTGAACACTGACATAAGTTTTGTTCTCTGTCTCTTTATCAAAAGAAATTTAAGTTACAGTTAAATAATGAATATAAGCTTGAAGGGCAGTCTCTCAGCTTTAATTTGAGGGTATTCACATCCAAATTGTAGGAAAGGTTTAGGAATTACAGCTCTTTAATATTCAGCCCCCTCTTTTTCAAGGGACCAAAAGTAATTGGGCAATTGACTCAAAAGCTGTTTCATGGACACGTTTGGGCTATTGCTTTAATATTTCTTTATCAACAAAATAGGTAAAAGGTCTGGAGTTGATTCCAGGTGTTTGCATTTGAAAGCTGTTGCTGTGAACCGAAAATATACTGTCAAAGGAGCTATCAATGAGAGGCTGAAAAGCTTTAAACCTCCCCCCCCTCCCCCAACAAATTCAAGAGAGCGAGATAGCAGGAACATTAGCAGTGACGAAATCAACAGTTTGGTACATTCTGAGATAAAAAAAAGAATGTACTGGTGAGCAAAAAACCCGCCGCAACATCCAGCCAAGCGAAGAACACTCTCCAAGAGGTAGGCATATCATTATCCAAGTCTACCATAAAGAGAAGACTTCACATGAGCAAATACAGAGGATTCACGACAAGATGCAAATCATTCATAAGTTCAAAAATAGAAAGGCCAGATTAGACTTTGCCAAAAAAATCTAAAAAAGCTAGCCCAGTTTGGAACAGCATTATTTGAACAGATGACACTAAGATAAATCTGTACCAGGATGAGGGGAAGAAAAAAGTATAGAGAAGGATTGGAATGGCTCATGTTCCAAAGCAACACATCATCTGTAAAACAAGAGTCAGATTTCATGGGCATGCATGGCTTCCAAAGGCACAGGGTCACTAGTGTTTATTGACGACATGACAGATAAAAGAAGAGGCCGGATTAATTCTTAAGTGTATAGAGATATATTGTCTGTTCAGATTCAATCAAATTCAGCAAATGGACAATGACCCAAAACAAACTGCAAAAATATACTGAAAAAGTAACCCAGGAGCATTTAAGGCAAAGAAGTGGAATATTATGAAATAGCAAAGTCAATCACCTGATCTCAACCCGATCGAGCATGCATTTCACTTGATGAAGTCAAAACATAAGGCAGAAAGACAGGCAACAAGTGAAGACGAATACGCTAAAGACCTGGCAGAGCATCACAAAGGAGGAAACCCAGCATTTGGTAATGTCCATGAGTTCCAGACTTCAAGTTGTTATTGCCTGCAAAGGATTCTCGACAAAGTACTAAAAATTTATATTTCATTTATATTTGTGTTAATTTATCCATTTATATTTGAGCCCTTGAAGTAAGGGGACTGTGTATGAAAATGATTGCACTTCCTTTCATAAAATATTTTTGTCCAACCTCTTGAATTAAAGCTAAAAGACTTCGTTTGCATCTCGGTTGTTTCATTTCAAATCCATTGTTGCAGCATACAGAGCAATAATTATGAAAATTGTGTCAGTGTCCATATATTTCCAGACCTAATTGTAGATAGTAGTGTAACTCATAAAATGAGATAAGAAGTTAGCGACATACTACACTAATCATTTGCACTAGAAGTCAACTTACTAGAAAATACTTATAGCAGGTGGCTATATTGACGTACAATTAAATTAGTGAGAAAACAATAACGAGTGATGAACATATGTTTCTTTGCTAAAGAGCTATGGCACTTGTTATGTAACATGCAAATAAAAAACAGGGAATTTCAGAGAAAAAAGTCGAGTTGTAGTCAGAATATAGAGCATGATCTCTGTGCTAGAAAAGGATTAAAACAAGTGGTATATTTAAAATGAATACATGAACATTACTGTTTGCGCGTAAGTTGTGTAACATGTGAACATGACTGTATACATGCAGAATGGATGACCAGAACTCTATACAGTATATACACTGTTTTGTTAAAGTTTACCATGAGATGGAGACAACAGACCAGTAAAAACAACTGCAACAAATACAACAAAGTTAGCAGTGAATAACCCATCCTTCTAGCCTGTTATAATATCCAGTAGAGATGAGAAGAACAGAATACAAATAAACTATAGAGTCCAGCTGTCTAAATTAACATAAATAATCACTAGCTAGTATCATCATCTACCTTGCCTATTGCCCTTGGTCAAATATTACAGGGCCAGGAAAATGATGAAATGCATGTGTCTCCCTCCACATACTATATCTGTTCAGTTGGAAAGAAGTGCAGAACTTGAGCAAAGGCCAGTGCGAAAACACAAAAACTGAATGCCCCCCAAATACAGGTTAATGAATTAATTACACTTGACACTTCTGTTGCAGGTGTATATTTGTTTTTCCTTTTTGTTTGTTGGTGTTGAATGGGTTAATTATTTTTAATATGTCCAATTTGATGCATGCATTAATTTATATTAACATTTCAGGCATGAACAATCCTTCACATTTGTAATTCCGTGGTCAAGTAATTTCCTACATCTGGTCTGAGGAAGTGAAAATGTATGCCAAAAATGTGCCAACTATATATATATCTCTCAATCTGCCTAGTAAATATAAGCTGGCATTGTTGTTTATATGCTTCTCTAGTGGAAATTTTAGCATTAGCAATGAGAAGTTTTCTTACTGACAGTGGCTGAGATACCCAAATATTAAACAGCATTCTGGTTAGAGAAAGATTAAGATCCCACAGTACACTAGGAAGGTTATCAGTTTGTGCCCCACCAACTTTCATTCTTCACATAAGGATGGTGGGCAGGGACAAACAAACTCATGGATGAAGGTCCCCTGGGCCCAAAATAAACTTATGATTTATCATGCTCTACTTCTGTAAAAACATTTCCGAGACACTAAATTTTTGTATTTAAAATACATCAACCTGTGTGTGACAGATGTCCTCTGTAAAAGTTTCACATATTATGTTTGTATTAGGATAGATCAGATGTCTGTTGGTGTAAGGTGGGTACCTTTATAAAGAAGTGCATGCAACATTAAATATGTTGGCATGTTATCTAGTCTGACATTAAGTGGTAGTGAGGGAAATAAAAGAAACAAACATTAGTTTTTCATACATAATTTGATAATTTAATATGTCCTTTCAAATTACATTCTTCTCTATATGGTTCTAATAGTTAGAGGACACCATGCCTTCCTTACCAAGTCACTTTGTAAAGAAAATGTTTCATACAGAAGCTGGATCTAATTTCATGTTTCCGTAACAAGAAAAAATAATTTGCTGTTTTTTTTTTCTTTCTCAAAAATGCCTTTGCAAAGATTTTTGTGGATTGTAACAAACCAGTAGTATTAAAATATGTAAAAATACTTTGCAAGAAATTTGGCATAAATTGGAGAATACATTATCTATTGTGTATTATGTCATAGGTTCGGGTTACAAAATGAGATGAGCTGGGTGAGGCAACACAGGTATCCACAAACAAGATTAGATCAAGGTCGGAGCTTTGCAAAGTTGCCTTGGATTATAGTAGAATGTGAGGCCAGCATTATAAAGGCCATACCGAGTCAGATTTTGTTGCACTATATCATCAACATGGTACATGATTTCTACCATGGTATTCTGGTACACCTGGCAATGCAGGTTTAGTCTCAGTTTTTGCTTCTTTCAATGATTTCATGAGAGTGGTAACCATTTATAGTATTAGAGTAACTGATGGTGTCTCTTACCCCCTGTTGAACAAAAGATAGATTTAGAGTCCAATTTAGTCCTAAGCTGTAGTACAGTCTATATTTGAATTTGACTCTGTCCTGTGTGAGGTAGCTTTGGATAAAGTAGACACAAAGCGTATATACTCATGGTCATCAAGGTACAGTTTTTATTTGCACTAGTTTCAACACCAGGGGTAGGCAACCATTTGATAGCACTGTGTCAAAGAAAAACTTTGAAGTTCCCTATGGTACCGGCCTTGTTTTTTTTTAATGTATATATGTCAGGGAATTAGGCTTGTGTGGTGTATGGATGTGGTTGATGCTTTTTGAGGTTGTATATGTGTGGATGTGGGAGGGCTGTATGTATTGTGAGTTATGTTTGTGTGTTGGCTCTTTGTGGTGTTATGGTACTGTATGAAACGCCTGTGTGTATTGTGTATCCATTGTTGTTTCTTGGTATTGTATGCCTAGGGGTGTTGGCTTGTAGGGTTCTGTGTGTTAATGTGGGCTGTTTGTGGTATTGTGTGTATGTGTGGTAAGAGCGGTTTGTGAAGTTATGTATGTGTGGGTTGTTTGTAGTATTGTGTGTGTAGGCTGTCTGTGATATTATACATATGTATGTGGACTGGTTGTGGTATTTGTATTTACATGTGTGTATGTGGCCTGCCTGTTATGTAATGTATGTGTGTGCTGTGTGTATGTGGGTTGCTTATATCATTTGTGTGTGTGTTGTGTTATGTATGTTGGTTATTTATGGTATTGTGCTATTATGTGGGCTTGTGTGTTGCTTGCCTTATTTGGCATGTGGTAGGAACTGTCTGTGTTACTTTGTGTGTGTGTGGTGAGGCCTGTCTGTGGTGTTGTGTATGTAAGTGTGTTGTCTGTGTCAATAGTGTGTGTGGAGGTCTTTGCAGAGGTGGAGGTGTCTTTACTAAAATAAATTTGTTATAAACTTATTAATTGCTCCATCTTGCCTACCTAACCGGGGAGGGTGAAAAGAATCATCATAATTCCATGGTGGTCCTGTGCTGGAACTTGAAGTCTGCACATGGGTGCAGACCCCTTCTATCTCTCACTCCAGTCTGACTCTTTAGAAGAGAGTTGGAGCATTGCAATGATAACCTGTGGCAATGCTCTGACTCACTGAGACGCAAAGGAAAGTTCTCTTTGGTGCCTATACCTGCTAGGGGTGCAGACCACATGCTCCATTGTGCTCTGGGCCAGTTCGGGAGATCCCTTAATCTCTCCATCTGGCCAATAAGTTGATGTATGTTGCCAACCTTTGTTCTAGATTGTTATGTTCTTACATCAAACACTTACCTTAACAGCTGGGCTACACTCAAATTTGTTCACTGATCTATTGTTTTGCGTCACCAATAATTACAGGGAACTGTTGTCTTCACTTTTTTAATGATGTACAATAAGGATTCATAATTTTAATAGAATAAACCAAATGATAAAGGTCACTGAAAATGAAACTAAAACTTATAAATAATTGTAGCATATAAATATAAAAGAGGGCTGCATCACGAGAAAATTGAGCGACTTGTATGTCAATATAAAGTATAAACCAAAAACTGATTTGTGAGCACGCCAAATAGATGTCACTGTTAATCAAAGTCTGCAATCTAGTAATAAGTGTAAGAAGTCAAAAACTTGCATATAATACAATAAATGTACAATAAATATCGTAATTATTAGAATACCATCACATCTATGATCATATAGAAATTGATATCAATGAACATTTTTAAAACATGATTTATTAAGTCTATAAAATATTATTAAAATAAAGTTTTGTGTAGCATAAATAAACCAAATTCATATGCAAACATAGTAAAGAGTAAACTTCACTCAATATGACACAGATAAAAAGACACAAAATAACCAGACAAAGAGTCTATAGAGCAGTGTGGAGCACCCTACACTGATAATAGTCCGTGTGCACAATATTAATCAAAATATCTGTAGTGATGTAAACTCAATCAAATGAGTAAGGAAAAATAAGATATATGAAAAATGTAAGCACAAAATCAAAAAAGGGATCAAAAAGAGTCCGGAACAGGGAGCTCTGAAACCTACCAAACCTCTAGATAACAACTAAGGGAGCTGCACAGAAGCTGGCCCCAAGTCTGAAGAAACTCTGGGGGTAAGCCAGAGCAACTAACCCTGTTCGTTGTACTTCGAGTCAGGTTAGGGGAGCACGCCAAACTGCCTGCCATGGAATGCAAGTGTTTGCTTCGGTCCGGTAGCTCCTACTGCCGCGAGTTAAAAAATGACTGCAAGAATAATACATATACCCCTACAATAATCCTCACATAAGGAAAGAAAGTATACTGATAAAACCTCCTTTATTGATCATAAACATTGATTTCATCTATATTATAACCAGTAAGCCCTTTCCTTTTCAGTATCCATATGGGCCTCAGAAGTATAATATACAAGAATACTTGAACTCAATATGAGGCTGACTTATATTATTGTTACTATAAACGCCTCAAACTTTATCATCAGAAATCCTGAGATAGTGAGCTAAGCACCAAAAACAATTTTTTAGAAAAGGGTATATATTGTAGAACGTATGTACTGGTTGGTAGAATAAACAGATATATCATGACTACTCAAAACAGTAAGATTTCATCATATTAAATCAACCTAGTAAAAAGGAAGGGATTTTTATTATATATCAAATAGCCATAAAGTGGTGTCCAGTGGACAAAGGGATTATAAAGCAAGACATTTAGTTATTTATATAGAGGATTTCTGCATTAAAACTAAAACTTTTTTTAAACCAGTTGATGTCAATAGTTATATTGACACAACCAGTTGTCACTATGCACCTTGGAGCTCTTCATAGAAGCATATCGAGAGCCTGGACAGGTACCCAAAGGTGATGTACATAGAGCCTGTGTGACTCCACCTTCGTGAGTTTATTCCACATATACTTTAAACTTTTTGTACTTTATGTTATGGAAAGCACTATGTATATCTCATTTGTTTTTCAGATGAAACTACAGTATTTATACTTGTAATAGGTGGTATATTTATACATTGCACCTTTTTTAGTGTGCGTGAATCTATTCCTATTTCCTTATACTGTTTACCTTGCCATGTAAATGCAGTAAGTAAATAACTTTCAAAGGGAAATTGGACGAGCCCAATAACCATTTCCCAAATCAAGATACGTATCTCATACCTATCGCATAAGTCAGTTATCACTGTTTGAATGTGAGAGACAGCTAAGTGGTTAATTCCATACTGTGTCTGTTTCATTGGGATCTGCCTGATTCTCCCATTTCTTGAAAATGTGTATGTTTCTCTTTTAACATGTCTCTAATTATGTGGTGTACTGATTGAATTCTCTCTAAGTTGTTCTTGCAATAAAGCATCTACGTCTATCTTTACAGCTAATTGAATTCTGAACAATAATTACAAAATGTGATACATCTTTATAAACAATTAGAAAAGTAGAATCTGTTAGGAGGTTTTATAAAAAAAACCAAAGATAAGAGTTACTTACGCACTATCCAAAAGTAACTATTTTCTTTGTTTATTATTGCATTTATTAGGGCTGACGTGTACTATAGTCAATGCTGCCATGCAGGAGTAGTGGGAATTTGAGCGCAGGGCTTATTTTTGTGTATTTGTATTTGCTTTTGTATTACACAGCTAAGGGTTATTAAGTGTGTAGGGGTTTAGAAAAATACCCCTTTTTGACTCATTAGCGATGATTTTTTACCTGAAGCTGATAGAAGCAAGCTGAATCGTTAGTGTATGACTCACCTAAGACGTTTTGCCTTGATGTGGTAGGTGAGCGTATACTCAAGTGGCCACTGGGGTGATACTAAAAACCTCCAGGTATTTAAATGTGCATAGGGATTAGGATAGTGTGCAAGTAACTATTTTATTTGTTTTTTATTGTATCGGGGCTGATGTGTACTATAGTCATTGCTGCCGTCCAGAAGTAGTGGGTGTTTGAGCTTATTTTTGTATATTTTTAAGTTAGAATGCTCAACTATTTCTAAAGATACTGTTTTACAGTATATTTTCTAAGTACTGTATTAAGAAGGATATGACCCTGAACCCTCAAAATTTAATTATGATAATTCCCTTGATATTCTTCATGCAAAATACATTTTGTACTACAGATATATCTGCTTGATTATCTAAGTAGCCTTCCTATTCCCAATCATGATAGAAGATTTAATTTAACAGGATTCATTCTTCCTGCAGATATGATGCTGTCTCCCCCCTCCTCCTGAACTGGATCTACACATTTCACCTTCCCTATTGCCTTTAAAGCAGCTGGCGTTGCCCTTTACTATGTTTAATGTTACCTGTGGCTCCCTTGCCTCAGCAATCATTTTCCTCTAGTCTACCCATAGCAGTCAGGAGTCTTTCCTGGCGTTCTTGGCTTGCCTGTCCTTCTAAATATGAGTTACATTTTGTGGCATAGTCTCTATTGTCTCTATTCTGTTCCAGAAAATGTGTACAGGGTTTGTCAGATGTTCCTCTAGCAATTTTCTTATCAAGTTGTGATGAGGACGATTTCCTATAATGATACAAATGTCCTCCTCTTCCAGCCTTTTTATCCTCCTTTCTTGATGTGGAATTCTTAAAATTCTCTCCAGTTAAATCTTTTCCTACACAAGTTTAAGTGTTTTTTAATATTTCTGGCATTTGCAAATGTCTCTCTGGTGCTAGGAATGCTTTAAGCTTTCTTTCTACATCAAGAATTTAACCTGGACTACTTAGGTTTTAAGCATCCCCATAGCACATCTTGATTACCCCTTTAAGTCCCAATAAACATGCAGCTAAAATTCCACTTTATTAACATGTGTCAGTGTGTCAGAAAGCGATGAAAGTGTTAAGTGACAGGTGTTTTGTCATAAAGTGAACTAATCATGGAATTCCAGTCTCTAGCATTTGCCAAATATATTTGTGGTGGTAGCAATGAATTAGTTGGTGCTTTGTTCTGTGTTGGTCCTGGTGTTGGATAGACCCCATCTAATGAGTGTATTATGTCATTAAGCCATAGCAGTCTGTCTTTTTAAAAAAAAAACATTTTCATTATTATTATTTTTTTTTTATTTTGGTTTAATAGGCATTACAGAAGAAATGTCATATAACGTGTGGATACATAAAATGATATACATCGATAAACAAATACAGCGATGTGACGAGACCAATCTCGCCACATTGCTTTGGAGAAGACTGGTTGCTCGCCTGCTTCCTCTGGACTATGGCCCCCTTTTAAAAGACTTTATTTTGCCTGCAGAAAAGCTGTATTCGTGCTTTTCTGCCGGTTGTTCGGTAGATTCAATCTACCGAACAACCGCGCAAATGAATAGACCACCTGGGAGCTGGAGTGTGGCGGCAGTTAACCTCCCTGAAGCTGCGATTAACCGCAGCTTAATTGACGAATGCTGGGTGGCCGCCATTCGTATCCCGAACACGAGGTCACGGCCATTTTAAACATGCGAATGCACAGCGGTGTTCGCCCCTATTTTCATGGAACTAAAATCGGACACAGTTTTGCGCGAACACCGCTGAAGCCGCCGACCTCCCTTCTTGTTCGGTGGAAGTGCACGAACGGCCCGGTGTTCGGTAGTTTTGTTTGAATGTGTTATACCCCATATAGGAATCCCATGGAGCCCATTCGTATGAAACTGACTGTAAAGACTTTGGCTCCATGGCGATTAAACTGTATTCGTGTGGTCTGAGCGCCATTCGCTTAATAATGTGCGCTCAGACCTGAGCTATCTGGGGATATGTTACATGTCTGTGTTTTATGTAATAAATGTTACTTTATGTATTTTAAAGTATAATACTGGTTTTGTGTCCCCACGTGTGTAATGGAGTTTTGCCTTTGTCCTGGGAGATAATTGAATTACTTCTCCAGGGCAGAGGGGAGGAAGCCAGGATGCATTGTGGGGATGTTTTACTTCTGTATGTCTGTAATTGGTACATGTCTGTCTTTTGTTACAGTCTTCCATCTGGTCCCCTAGGGGAGTGTCCACCAGGTGGGAGACCTGCATAAATACTGGGCAGGTAGCCCTCATTAAACTGACCACTGCTTGACCCTCAACACGGAGCTCTGTCTCGTTCTTGGGGGGGATTCACTGTATGCTGACTGATTGCCAGGAGTGTAAGCTGATTGTCTGCTTTTCCTGTTCGTCTGCTAGCAGCTATTAGTGAGGTTCCAGTTCGGGAGTTGGAGTGCTATTTTGTATCCAGTTTGGGAGTTTGGTGTTCTGCAGTAGCTGTGCCTGTGTCTCTGGAAGGGGAAGATCTACTAAACGGCGGTTTAACCCCCTTTATGCCTGGGGGTGCCATTACAAGCGATATTGTTCTACAACATCAGGACAGATGCAACGACAACACTGCAGAGTCACTAACAAGTGGGGTACCATATTTGTGGACTTATGCCCTAGGGTGGGCCTGGTCATGTGTGGTTGTGTGTTGCTCCATAAGGAGAGCTCTGGTGACTGCAGTCCCTCTACCGAGGTTCCTTCTGTATGCTGTAAGCCCGGCCCCGGTCTCGGGATCAGTCAAGTGTGTTGAAGAGAATGGGAATGACCAAGCCCCTATTTGATTGAAACTATCTGTAGAGGGAGGTATCTTTTGTAAAGTATTCTCTGCAGTCTGCTGGAGAGTAGCGGATATACAGCAATATATACATGAAATTTCCATAGGATCTGATTTCTGGATCAGTTGCTCCTATAGTGGACATGTAATTGGATGAGGAACCCTCACTTGGAGTGGCTTCCCAATAAGTTAGTGGCTGGGAAAACATGTGCCGTCTAGAGCGTAACGATGGTAGCCTCTAATGTCTGATATATATCGTTGTGCGGAGTGTTGTAGCGACTTAGTCTGCATGTCTTATGATGGGTATGCCGGGGAGTGGTAGGTAACATGTGAATAGAAGTATTGCAGGAATGTGAAATTCTTATTTTTGGTATCTGGAAGGCCTTTCCCAAATGAATGTGATCTGTTTTTTTGTTCAGCTGTAAGTCTGGTACCTACTTGGCATCTTTGTGTAGAGTTTCGTGTCCTCGATATGAGGCTTGTGGTACCTATAGGTACCTCTAAGTGGTTGTAGCATATATGATGACGTGGATTTAGGATATAAGTTCGTTTGGGATTTTTCTGTATCCAGTTCAGTCTGGTCAGCATGTTTGCTGCAGTCAAGAGGTTCTTAAAGGTGTGTCATGGGATCTCTGGACAGCCTCTGTCCACCATATGTTTGTGGGATAGGGGTTTGTGGTAACATAAGGGTTGCGAGAGAAGTGTCCTGGATAGAGTTGCTGTTGTTAGTGGTTGTACGGTACCATACGTAGCATGCATTGGGAGAGTTGTGTCCATGTAGGGATAAAGATAAGGTACGGAAATGTTAGTAAAGACACGTTTCCAGAACGTAAGGTGGTGACGTGGTCAGAAATCTAGGGTGGGAGAACGTTGTTACTTTTTGGATCAGTTTGTAGAGCGTGGATAAGTGTTTGGTTTTGAGCAGTCTGGTCCAACAGAGGTTCTTAAAGGGTGTCAGGTCTCTACAGCCCTTCAATAGTTTTGGTAGGGAGTTGAGGAAGTGTGTAATTTGTTAGTGACGGTATCGTAGCATGTGGGAGAGTTGTGTCTGAGGAAGAAATTCATGTAGAGGGCAGATTCCAGTTGTGGTGACCACTCTGCCTAGGGTGATGTATGAGGTGTTGTATAGGGCTTCAAAGGGAGCTATCGACATGCCCGGTCTAAATAGTGGGTTGTGGGTAATTGTATATAAGGGTGAGGGATATATGGACACATTGGGTATTTTTCGTAATTGTTGCCATACTTTTAGATTGAACACAATGGTAGGATGGGACGTGTACGTAAAAGATTTACCCTTTTCATGCCAAGGGGCTGTATGTAAGGGTATCTGGAATCCCTGATGTTCTAGTATTATCCAATGTATTTGGGATTGTGGAGAGGCCCACTCGTAGACTCTAGTGAGTAAGGTTGCCTAGTTGTATGCGTCAACATCGAGTAGGCATTAGTGTTTTAAGAGGGAGTCTAGGATATTTGTGCAACCATATGATTTCGCTAAATATGTGTTTATTAGTGGAGAAGAAGGAGTTGGGCAGTGTTATAGTTAGGGTTTTTGATGAGATACAGGATTTTCAGAAGGAAGTTCCTTTTTAGAATATGCGTACGACACAGCCATTCAAAAAATTTGTTTGTGCCAGCATGTGAGGTCTGTTTTAATTGACTGCAGCAGTGGTAAAAAGTTTAGATTGTAAAGCAAATGAAGATGTCTGGGGAGTTTGTAGTAGTATCGATTTTACTTGAGGGGTAAACTGAATAGGCAGTATCTTGCTATTAGTAAAATTTTACTAAAAAGTTGGAGAGCTTGTTGTATATGGATATTTCATCCAGAAGATGGGGCATAGAGGTTATTGAGTCAGTAATGATGAAAAGTAAGTCAGCTGCAAACGCAGCTACGGAGTTATTGCGGACGCCTTGTAGGAAGGGTACTAATATGAGTAAAAATAAAAGGGGTGATAGGGGGAACCCTTTCTTGTACCGTTACTAATATGTACATGATTAGAAAGTTGGCCATTGACCCCTATCCTAGCTGTTGGGGAGGAGCATATTGCGCATATCCATTTTAGCCAGTTTGGGCCAAAACTTTGAGGGTGTGGGAGAGCAGGGCCCAGTCCACTCTGTCAAACGCCTTTTCGGCATTTATGGACAGTAACAGGCATGGCGCACGGGAGAGTTTGGATAGATGGATAAGATTTATCATTTTGACGGTGTTGTTATTTGCCTCTTGTCCCGGTACAAATCCAGCCTGGTCAGGGTGAACAAGTCCCTGTAAAAGAGGGCATAACTTTGTGGCTAGAATCTTGGTAAAAATGTTGAGGTCAATGTTGATTAAAGAAATGGGACGGTAACTTCCGCAATTAGTTGGATCTTTGCCTGGTTTTGGAATCAGGGTGATGTGGGTTTCAAGTGCTGAGTGGGGTAATGTGTGGGAGCCAAGTAGGGAGTTAAACGTATTGGTGAATGGCGTGGATAGTGTATGTAGTATTTGGTTGTGAACCCACCTGGTCCTGGGATTTTGCCCAATGGTAGCTGTTTAACCACAGGTAAGATGGATGAGTCTAGGGCCTGTATGACATTCTGGGGGATTGTTTGTTATAGATGGTCCGTGAGGTATTGCTCAATGCCACGTTCATCAGGTGAGGTTTGTCTGAGGTTATAGAGTGAGGAGTAGATTTCATGGAATGCTGTGAGTATGTTAGGGAGGTTATGGGAGATGACCCCTGCCTTCATCTTCATTTTGGAGATTCATGTAGTTTGTAACATTTTAGCTAGAAATCTGCCACACTTGCCCCTCTGAGAGTAGTAGTTTTTTTTGTCAATAATAACTCTTTTTTGGGTCTGTGTATTGAACAGTTGTTGCAGTGTTGATCTCTTGAAACCAGTTGTTTATACATGTCTAATGACTTATTGTGTTTGTGTTGTTCTTCTTTGTGTTGTTCTTCCAGGGTACTTATGGTTTGAGTTAGGTCTGTAATTTGGGCGTATCTTTGTTTTTTGCCTGGTGTGCCTCCCACATAGTGGTGGGTGAGACAGAGAAAGTAATGCTTCAGTGTATCTTAGCTGAGCCGTCCTGGGAAGATTCCAGCGCCATATTTGGGCCTGTCGCGCCTGGAATGGAGTCCACATTATCGCAGAAAAATTTAGTTAGAGCCCTGGATTTTCCAGCTGGATGTTTGCTGGATGTTTGCCGGGTTGGCTCTGAGAGGATAGAGAGCACTTGGGGGTTGTGTCGCCGCTTATGTCGGATCTTGTGCAGGGTCTCACAGAGCGCCGTTAGAGTGTGACCATTCAGTGTTCAACTTACATAGACAGAGAAATTACAGAAAACTAATACAATTCAAATTCAAATTAACCGTTTTTTACCCAAATTAACAATTTTATATTCAAATGTCCATAACAGTACCATGTTCAAAAAACTGTTCTACAGTTTTGTTGTTCAGTTGTTTTTTAAAGATTTATTTTCTGTTGACTTTGCAGGTGTCATTATATAATTCTTAATGTTAGTGACTCCACCTAGACTTATTGAAAATATATTAATTTCAGGTGGTAAATGATCATCTAATTCTCTGGCAGTGCAGTACTTAACCCAGTGTAGCTACTGGAGCCTCTTAGCAGCTGTTTCTGGATCAAGACGTGGCTGCAACCAGCACTCAGTGAACCTCAAGTAAGTTGTAAAACTGCTTGGAAATGATTTGACTATATACCCTGCTAGGGCACCAGGACACATTGGGCACTATAACCGCTATAGCAGACTGTATTTGTTTTGTGCTTTAAGTGTTCCTTCATTATTTCAGTTTATTATCTCAATAATTAAATTATACAACAACAGCAAATAATAATGAAATACTTTACTTTATTAGCAAGGTTTGTCAATGGTGCATTCCTTGCAACTCCTTAGTTAGAAATTTGATATAGTAATACATAGACTGTACACTGAGAACTGTAAAGCCTGAATTGTTCCATTCAGAAACAAGCACGTATAAAAAATATAGTTATCCACAATTATCTGTGGTCATTCATCATTACATTTTATACAGTGCTAATTATAGGTAAGCATTCATGCTTTAATTGCAGCCCTACATAGATCCCAGTGTCACTTAGGGCATATAATAATAACATCTCAAATTTAGAAAACATTATCCTACAAATTTTACAGTAACTAATCAAAAAAGCATTTGCAAGCGAAAGCAGGATAACAGATGAAGGGAATTATTCTTTGACTTTAAGGAAAGTAGGTAGCAAGTTGCTAATTTTTACGTTCAAATGGCCCAAGAGAGACAGTTATTTGATCATGGATTTGTTCAGCAGCTCTTTTACGTCTAGCAAGGCAGCCCTGATAGCAACGGGAGTTGTAATTATACCGCTGACACACGGTCAGTTTGCACTGAAGATACACACTGGAATAGTTTTGAAGGAATCCAAATGCTCTAAATCCAAAACGAGCCTGGTATGGGTATGGAGAAGAATATGTAGAATATGTAGAGTCTCTTACACATCTGAAAAAAGAATGTTAAAGTTAAACACAAATATTCAAAACTACATTTGAATACATTTCTATGTTAAATTCAACTTTTGCAAAATTACATAAGATATTTTAAAAACTCGTAAAAAAATGTAAAATAAGTAAAGTAGGTAAGGACACACTAGAGTAATCATTTCCACTAGAAGTCAACTTACAGGAAGAAACTTATAGCAGGTGGCTACATTGACTTACAATGAAATTAGTAAGAAAACAAAAACTAGGGATCAGCATATGTATGTTGTCTAAAGAGCGATGGCACTTGTTTTGTAACATGCAAAGAAAGGACAGGAAATATCAGAGAAAAAAATAGGATGTTGTCAGTATGTAGAGCATACTAGAAAAGGATTTAAACCTCTTCTTTATTTAGCATGAATACATGAACATCACTGTACATGCAGTAAAGCACTGCAGAATTTGATGGCGCTAAAGAAATAACACAATAATAATAATAATTATGTGTACAACATGTGAACATAACTGCATGACAGAACTCTACATATGCAAAACGACTCTTACAACTTTCCCATACACTGTTTTATTTTAGTCTACCCCTAGATGGAGACAACATACCATCATAAGCAGCTGCAATAAATACAGAAAACATAGAAGTTTATCACTCATCCTTCTAGTCAATGTGATAATATCCAGTAGAGATGAGAAGGAAATATTAAAACTAAACTGTACAGTACAGCTGTCTAAATCCATATCCAAATTTCAGTTGGAAAAAGTGCACAACTGTGATTGAGCAATGGCAAGAGTGAACTATAAGAAACACAACAACCGAATGCCCCCCGCTCCCACCACCCCCACAATACAAGTTAATGAGTGAATTAGACTTAACATTTATGTTGCAGGTATACCGTATATTTGATTTTAACTATAGTCTGTTGGTGTTGAATTAGTTAATTATTTTGTATATGTCCAATTTGGTGCATGCATTATTCCATGTTACCATTTTGGGCTTGAAAAAAACTGTGTGAGGTGGGAACTTAACAGAGAAGAGCATGCAACCTGAAATATCTTGGCATGTTATCTAGCCTGACATTAATTAGTAGTAGTAAGGAAAAGAACAAGCTAGTTTTCAAAACCATAATATGTCCTTTCAAATTAAATTGTTCTCTATATGGGTGATGGTTCTAATAGTTAGAGGACACTATGCCTTCCTTAGCATTAAGTTGTTTATAAAGAGGAAGTCACCTTATAAAGAAAATGTTTCATATGGAAGCTGGATTTAATTTTTATGTTTTTTTTTTTTTCAAATGAATTCCATGGTAAAGGTAATTTGTGGAATTTATCAAAACAATAGAATACAAATGTGTAAAATTACTTTGCAATAAAATTAGTAAATTGGAGAATATATTACCCATTGCGTATTATGTCATAGGTTCGGGTTACAAAATCAGATGAGCTGGGTGAAGCAACACAGGTATCCACAAACAAGATTAGATCAGGATCGGAGCTATGCAAAGTTGCCTGGAGATACAAGTTCTGATCGAGCTGGACATAGTATGGATATTGGTACACAGGACTGGTGAAACTTGGATTGTAGTAGAATGCGAGGCCAGCATTATAAAGGCCATACCGAGTCAGGTTTTGTTGTATTACATCATTAGCGTGGTACATGATTTCTACCATGCTATTCTGGTACATCTGACATTGCAGGTTTAAGCTAAGTTTTTTGCTTCTTTCAATTATTTCATTAGCGTTGTAACCATTTATAGTATTAGAGTAACTGATGGTGTCTCTTTCTCCCTGTTGAACAAAAGATAGAATTAAACTATAGTTGCATTACAATAAACCTGTAGGAATCACATGCCATCCACATAAGCCAGCAGGTGCGAAAATAAACCTTGGGCAATCACAAGCCCAACAGTAATAAATACCAGTAATGTCCAGGAACTCCAATAGCTTCAGGCACATTTATTAGAACCAAGTGAACACTGCAACATTTCAACTCAGAATTAGGTCTTTGTCAAGCTTCTGTGTGTATGGAGGTATTGGCTTGTCGGGTTATGTATGATGGTGGGCATGTGTGTGACACAAGCTGTTTGTGGAGTTGTGTATGGGTGTGGCTGTGATATTATGCACGTGTATGTGAACTGTTAATGGTATTTGGGTTTGTATGTGTGTATGTGGCCCGCCTGTTGCGTTTTGTGTGTGTGTGGGCTGTCTAAGTTTGTGTGTGTTCTGTGTGTATGTTGGTGGCTTCTAGTATTTTTGTGTATGAAATGGGGCACTCTATGGTGTTGTGTCATAATAATACACAACATCACACAGACTAAAATCACTTTTCTGGCACACTCTCAGAATTAAGCTAAACGGCTCTGCAGTCAGGGAATTTACCAACTGAGCTACCTCACCAGCTGTGTATATGGAGTATTTGTGGTATTGTGTTGGCATGTGCGCTTTTGGGTTGCTTGTAGTATTTGGTGTGAGGTAGGGGCTGTCTTTGGTTTTTGGTAAAAAAAAAAGGTGCCCAGCAGACCCCATCTCCCCCCTCCTGCAGTCAGTGCTCTATTTTTGTAGTGAGCCCAGCATGCATTGCGTGCCATGGAGCGTTGTCATGGCAACCTTAGAAGCTGGGCTACACTCACAATTGTCTCTTGTTTTGTGTCACCAATAAGGGAGCTGTTGTCTTCACTCCTTTTTATTGACTTTCAATAAAGATTTGAAACTTTAATAACATTATCCCACTCTCTTCCCACTTCTGGATCCTATCCAATGTTGGTATTGGCCACTTTAGGGTTGTTTTTTGTTTTTTTTCACTGCACCTGCCCTATACTTTATACCTTTCTGAGTGGTCTGGCATTGTGACCTTGCTCAGGATAATTTTTTTCTCTTCTTTGAAACATGGTGATATCCACTGTGTTTGCTTCAGATACATTGTTAATTTGAAGGACATCAATCCGATTGAAACAAAGACAAATATATTACACTGAATAACACTGAACCCAGCTCTTAAGCATTTCACATCTTAATATTACTACATATTTCAAATTGAAACTCATGCTATTCATATTGCGGTTGTGACTGGCTGTCAGAAAAAGTTAGACATCTTTTACATGCTACTATCCCTAGCAGAAATGTAATTTACCTGTCTCAGGGTGCCACATTGGTTGTAGTATATGTAAAAAGTCAACCAGCTGCCATAAGTCTGTGGGCGACACTGAGGGTCATTTAAGAAAATGTCACTTGATGAAAAGCCTAAAGACTGAAGATACCAAACAGAAATCCGGGCTTCCATGTAATTTGTTGTACATGTAAGAGTCACTGGTCAGAGAAAACAGAATATGCAGAAATGTTGTTAATTGTTTTTAAGGTACTATTTTTGTTTGGGTGAAACATTAATAATTCTAACTTTATTTTATAGAAATGTCAAAAAACACATTTTAATTACAGAATTGTAGCTGAATGGAACAAGAGGTGGTAGTAATTTAATATCCATGATACAGCTTTACATAAAATTAGTAACATCTTAAAGGGACACTATAGTCACCTGAACAAGAACAACTACAGCTTAATGAGGTTGTTCAGGTGAGAACTATAGCTCCCTGCAGCCTTTCTCAGGTAAACACTGTATTTTCTGAGAAAATACAGTGTTTACATTGAAAGCTAGGAACACCTCCAGTTGCAGTCACTTAGAATGAACCAGATGGACTTCTGAGTTGAATATGCCTCCATCCACTCAGATCTGCTGTGCCCGAGCGTCCTGTGATTCAGTATCTCCTCCCACTGCATGCAGACACTGAAC